CAAGACTCACAGGGAATAAACAGAGGTGATGAAATGCCAAGAGAAGTGGGTAGAGGAAGAGAAGCTAGCAAAAGAGACCAAGAAATAATATTAGTAAAAAAAAAAACAAAAAATCAAAAAAAAACAAACCTAGAAAATAATGCTGTCGGGGAATCAAAGTTTTTCAAAGATGAGGATCAACAGGGTCAAAATCAAGATACTATAATCCTCATCAATCATGGTGGTAACATTTTAGAAGTCTGAATATCAGATGTTGGCAAGGATGTTGGAAAACAACATAGGACTCTCAGGCACTGTCTTCAGGAGTATAAATTGGTATAACTGTTATGAGGGCAATTGGCAGTATTTATTTACTAAAATTAAACATATGCATAGACTTACGAACCAGCAATTCCACTAGGATATACATATACACACACATATATATGCCCTGTAAACATTCCTTCATATTTGCCAGAGAGACATGCAAGAATGTTCATCACAGTATTGTTTATAATAATAAAATTTGGAATAAAATCTCTGTGACATAAGAATGGATAAGTTGTGCTATATTCATTTAATGAAATGCTGTACAGTTAAAATGAATAAGCCAGCATTAAGTGAATCAAGAATTACCCTCCAAAACGGTAGTTATTTAAAAAAAAAAGAAAAAAAGAAAGGCAAGTCAAATGGCCTCATTTCTTGTATGTAAATTTTTTTTGTAAAATTTTGTAAAACAATACTGTGTGTTTTATGGATATATTCATTTAAAGTAAAGGGGTTTTTTAAAGTTTATTTTGAGAGAGAGAGAGAATCCCCAGTAGGCTCTGTGTCAGCACAGAGCCTGAGAGGGGCTCGATCCTAAGAACTGTGAGATCATGACTTCAGCCAAAATCAAGAGTCAGACGTTCAACCAACTGAGCCACCCAGGTCCCCTAAAGTAACAGTTTGAAAGGGTGGCTGGCCAGCTCAGCCAGTAGAGCATGTGACTCTTGATCTTGGGATTGTGAGTTCAAGCCCCATGTTTATTTTCACTTAAAAATAAAATCTTGAAAAAATATAAAAGTTTAAAAAACACACTTGGGAATTATAAAAACAAAAACTCAGAACAGAGGTTCCCTTTAAAAGAGGGAGAGGCACATAGGTAGCCTATAATTTTTATTTCTTAAAAAACATTCTTAAATGTGGCAAAATATTAATTAAGATTTCATGTCTGTTAATTTTGGATCTATATAGGATACTTTTTAAAAGTTAAAACAATAAAACTCATATTTTATACCCCAATTAAAAAATGGCTAGATAAAAATGCATCTACATTTAAACCAAATTTTTCTTGGGTTTGTATACTCTCCAAAATGACATGGTATTTTTACTGATTTACCAAGAATGATGAGAGAATTAAGGGAAGATCACCAGGATATGTGACACAATTTTTAGGAGGAAAGGTGGCTCCAATAATCTAAAACATTACTACCCTTTGTGATTTCCAAAGTGCTCATATGTAGGTATTAATTCCTTCCTTATAGATGAAGGTATATCTCAGAGATGTTAAATGATTTGCTAAAGGCAACCAGCTAGTAGTAGCGAGCAGTGAGTTAGGTGTTCAGGTTACAGACCTGTAGATGTTAGAGCAGGAACTTGAACCCAGGTTTTTTGTTTCAAGGCAAACTAAACTAGGTTCCTGGACCCCATTGTTTTGCCCAGAGAGCTATTACTGAAGTGAAATGCTTTGCACTGTTTAGCATTTTAGAACAAAGAATTGTTGAAATATGGGTATTTTCTAAACTATGCATTTTTATACAGTATTTTTGTGTCCCTTTTGATATATACAACATAATTTAAGCTAACAGTTATGTTTCAAACTTACCTTTCTTTTCCCTCACAAACTCGTTATGCTGGCATTGGGATTTCCTTTTGCAGTGAGGAAGTCCATCTTTAAGATGGTGAAGATAAGTGTCCATGAATTAGAAACAATCATCCCTGTCTCTCCCTTAAGTGAAATACAGTGTCATGCAAAAGAAACTACTCCAGAAGATAAGATACCAGTTGTAAAGTGGCCAAGAACTTTATGTTATAGATGTATTGATTATCAGAAATTGCCAAGCTTTCTTGCTAAAGTATTAGAAGCAAGTAATTAGAAGCCAAGAATGTAGGGTTTATCTGTTCTTACCTTTCATCCCAACCACCATAATCTACTTTTGGCCAAAGACTGAGTCCTCCTAAGTAAAATGAGGGAAAACATTACCATCATTGAAAACTATCATAAACTCTCAAATTCTCCTGTTTGTTAGATTTTGCTGTGAGGAGGTCCTTCATCAACTTGGTAATATCAGTTTCCACAGAGCAGTGGGAATTAAAGCCAGGAACCAGTTGAGCAAATGGGAGATGAAGACCTAGACTTCAAGAGAATGTCACTGTTTCAAAATGCTTCGGAGAGAAGACGGAAAGGATAGACGGAGGGTAGAAACCAGAAGGAAATAAGGGTACAACAGGAATCGTGGCAGTTGAGAGATCTGAGCATAACTGTAATTTGAATGAAAAAGAACTTGTAGAGGAGAGAGAAAATTGATGCAGCCAGACAAGGCTCCATAGGAGACAGAAAAGGTGGGCCTTGAAAAATAATACCTTTTTTCAGAAACTAAGGGAATAAGAGAATGGTTATAAATAAATTTATAGTTGTGAGACAAGAGGTATTTTCCTATCTGGCTTCAATATTTTTTGTGAAGTAGGAAGTAATAGCTGATGTAATTTGTGAAGTAGGAGGGAGCAAAAAGGGGATTTAAAGGGAATGGAGACAGTCTGGAATAGACAGACTAAAGACAAAGGCATTAATGGTGGTGGTAACCACCAGACTGAGTTTGGAAAGTATAGTGGCTTTATGATTATTTCTAGCATCTCAGCTGAATGGCTTATAGGCCAGCCATATTATAGGATTGGTCTAGAACTGTGAGTTGGATGACAGAGGAGAAAGACAAGGTATGAAGGGAGTTGAGGGCACTGAAGCCGGGCAGAATATGACACTGCTCTAGGAATGTGATTGGAAGAGAGATCAGGAAAGGAAAAAAAAGAAAAGAAAAAAAGGAAGGGGATTGAAAACACTGGTTAGAGAATAGGTCATGTGACCAATTAAGAGCTCTAGGCCAGATATGGAAATGGGACCAAGAATAAATTGGAAGAAAAAACAATATTACAGGAATAGAGCTCTTGATGAGACTCTGGATCAGGCACTGGGGGGTAATATGAATGGAAAGAGAAGGGTTTTGAAATCACTCAGAGCTACTCTATAACAAAGTAGAGAGTATGGCTAAGGGATTGGGTTGAAGTGGCCTCGGAACTGTGATTCTTGAGTGTTCAACAGACCATCCACAGGAATGTTGAAATATCCTAGGAAATGATGAAATAAATTGAGATTTAAAGGCTTAACGTGATCCAGGCATAATGTTATTGTGGGGGGATAACCTAGGGGCTAACGGATATTAGGGACAAAAGAAGGTAAAAGGTGGCAAAATTGGATGGAATGGACTTCAAAGGAATGAAAGTTTTTACAGGAAAGTGAAATGTTTTAAAAGAGACTATAGGACTAAATACGAATATCAATTCTGAGCCTTGTGATATGTAGAATTTGAGGACATTCTCAAAGCAAGCTCTCAAAGTGAGATCTTTAAGAGATCAAGGAAATAGAAGACATGTTCATTTAAAAAGCTGAAGGTATAGGTGTGTTTGTATATAGCAGAAAAGGTTGCCAAAGCCCACCCTGGATAGGGTTGAAGAAGGGAATTGTGCGAAAAGTGAGGATGAGCTCTCACGAGGGCATGCTGTCAGGTACACAGCAGCTGGGAGACCAGAAATGAGAGGAAGCTGATGGTTGGGTGAAAGGGCTGTCTTCTGAGCAGTAAACAGGAATGAAGTTTGGATGGAACTATAGTTTCTCAGTTTTTGGCCCAGTTGTTTTAAACAGAACTGATAAATTGGTGGTCCTGGCAATGTTTGTTATCTTTGTAGGAGTGTTTCTAGATCCATGGCATGGTGGTAATTGCTGGATCCTTTCAGAACTGCTATGCAAAATGCTGAGTGTGGTAATAGATGGTCTAGTTTCTGCTGGACTTTTTATGGCAGCTAGTGCTTTGCCCTCTCTGGCAGGCATGGCATGCAGCAGGCATGCCAGAAGACAGAGCACAAGGACTTTTCTCCATAGAATTGCCCCTCTTTGGCATAAGGGCCAGTGTTTGTGCTTCACGTAAGATGCAATTCCTTCTTTTCTGCTTTTGCAAAACATTCATCATGTCTTATGGAGAGTATTATACAATGGAAAAAGCACAGTCTTTTACAGACTTGGTTCTGAATCCTGGAAGCTTCTTGGGCAATTTATTTAACTTTTTAGTCTTAATACATCATGGTTACTGTAATAACAGAATTTGTACAAAAAGTACCTAAAACAAAAAATATCAATAAAAATTTTCCCATCATGAATTATTTCATAAGAATCTTATTAAAGACTCCACCACTGTACTAAGTCCTGGGTATCAAATGATGAATATGACATGATCCTTGTCTTCAGATCCTTATGATCCTTACAAGATCATGGGGTGCCTGGGTGGCTCAGTCAGTTAAGGCTCAGCTCATGCTCTCATGGTCCATGGGTATGAGCCCCGCGTCAGGCTCTGTGCTGACAGTTCAGAGCCTGGAGCCTGCTTCAGATTCTGTCTCTCTCTATCTCTGCCCTTTCCCCACTCATGCTCTGTTTCTCTCTCTCAAAAATAAATAAACGTTAAAAAAATTAAAGATCCTTACAGTTCATGGGCACCTGGGTGGCTCAGCCCATTAAGTGTTCAACCCTTGATTTCAGCTCAGGTCATGACCCCAGGGTTTGTGAGACTGAGCCCCATGTGGGGCTCTGTGTTAATAGCATGGTGTCTGCTTGGGATTCATTATCATTCTCTCTCTCTTCCTCCCTCCCACCCTCCCTCCCAAAATAAGTAAATATTAAGAAAAAAAGAAAGAGGATCTTTACAGTTCAATGCTTGCTTTGGTAGCACATATACTAAAATCGGAGTGATGCAGAGAAGATTAGCATGGCTTCTGCACAAGGACGACATGAAAATTCGTGAAGCGTTCCATATTTTTTATACTAAGCAAAATAAGTCAGAGAAAGACAAATACCATATGATTTCACTTACATGTGGAATTTAAGAAACAAAATAGATGAACATAGGGGAAGGGGGAAAAAAGGGAAGCAAACCATATGAGACTCTTAACTATAGAGAACAAACACGGTTGCTGGAGGGGCGGTTTGTGGGGGGGGGAATGAGCTAAATAGGTGGTGGAATTAAGGAGGGCCCTTTTTGTGATGAGCACTGGGTGTTGTGTGTAAGTGATGAATCACTAAATTCTACTCCTGAAACCAATTTTGTACTATATGTTAACCAACTAGAATTTCTTTAAAAAAATTTTTTTAATGTTTGTTTATTTTGAGAGAGGGAGAGAGAGACAGAGCGTGAGTGGAGGAGGGGCAGAGAGAGGAGGACACAGAATCCGAAGGAGGTTCCAGGCTCTGAGCTGTCAGCACTGAGCCAGACGCAGGGCTCAAACTCACAAACCACAAGATCATGACCGGAGCCAAAGTCGGACACTCAACTGACTGAGCCACTCAGGTGCCCCTAACTAACTAGAATTTAAATAAAAACTTGAAACAAACAAAACAGTTCCTTACAGTTCGGTAAAAAGTGAGACAACGATAAATATATTCAATGCCAGATGAGGAGTGCCTTGATAGATGCATGGATGGAAAACAGAGACAGCCCAAGGGAGCAATGATTAGCAGGCTGCCTGCCTGAGGTGGATTGAGAAGGCAGGGAGCCTTCCTGGCTATTCCTCTGTTTTCTCTGTTTATTTTCCTTCCACTCTATGTGCATGTCTGTTTTCATTCTATGCCCATTTCTGAAATATATCCAAGCGTGCTTTTGTCTACTCCGATGGTATCAGTGCTGAGGAGTTCCAGGTCTCTCTACTCAACATCATACCATATATCCAGTTGCCAAACACATATATATTCTTAGGTATATTATTTAGCTCCACAGGAGCTAAAATAGAATTTTATAGTCTTTTCCTCAAAACCTGCTCCTTCACTTTTTGGGTGCCTCCATTTACTCAGTTGTCAACTCAGGAACATCTTTAGTGTTTAGCTCTTCCTAATCCTCCACAGTTAGTGTTCAGCAAGTCACATTAATGATATCTGCAAGACATCTTTCAAGTGTACCCACTTTTCTCCATTTCCATGTTTATAACCCTAGTTTAATATCATCTCTTCCCGAATTACTCCAACAACCTCTAATTTGTCTCCCTACCTCTAACCTTATCTCCTTTTACTCTATTCTCCATACTGCAACCAGAAAATTATTTCTAAAATACAAATCTGATTTCATTCTTTGGCTCAAAAGCCTTCAGAAGCTTCCCATTGCTTCTAGAATAAAATAGTTGGCAGGGCACTGCACAGTCTCATGTTTCCTTACTTCTAACCTTGTTATTTCATCACTGTTCTCCGCTTACTTAATGCTTCCACCAGATAAACCTGCTTCCCCTGGTCTTCCCTAAACCCCAGCTGCTCTGAGCTGACCTCATTTCTGCACCCCTGTCCCCAGAGCACCCAGTACAGTGTATTAAAATACCTAGTTGTTTGTTTCCCTGACTAGAATAGTCTCCTTAGGGCAGAGACCAAGTTGTTTTATTTTTGCTTTGCTTTGCTTTGCTTTGCGCACGCGCGCGTGTGTGCGTGTGTGTGTGTGTGTGTGTGTGTGTAATACAGGAGAGCCTTTAACATGAGGTAGTCATAGGATACACAATCACCTGCCTGTGATTGAGGCTGTAATGTAACCGATTGGGGCCTTCTATATATTCCTTTTTTTTTAAAAAATATTTTTATTTATTTCTAGGAGAGAGAGAGAGAGACAGCGTGAGCAGGGGAGGGTCAGAGAGAGAGGGAGATACAGATTCTGAAATAGGCTCCAGGCTCTGAGCTGGCAGTCAGCACAGAGCCCGACGCGGGGCTGGAACCCACAAACCATGAGATCATGACCTAAGCGAAAGTTGGACGCTTAATCGACTAAGCCACCCAGGCGCCCCGATATTCCTTGAATAGCTACATAAAAGAGAAATTAGAGGTGCCTGGGTGGCTTAGTCAGTTAAGTGTCTGACTTCAGCTCAGGTCATGATCTTGCAGTTCGTGGGTTTGAGCCCTGCATCGGGCTCCATGCTGACAGCTCTGAGACTGGAACCTGCTTTGGATTCTGTGTCTCCCTCTCTCTCTGCCCCTCCCCTGCTTGCACTCTCTCTCTCAAAAAAAAAAATAAATAAATAACCACTAAAAAATAAAAAAAAAACACCATCCAAAATATTTATTTTTCAGTTTATTTATCTATTTGGAGAGAGAGTGTGGGGGAGGGCAGGGAGAGCCTGACACAGGGCTCGAACTCATAAACTGTGAGATCATGACTCAAGCCAAAATTAAGAGTCAGACACTTAACCGACTGAACCACCCAGGTGTCTCCAGAATGTCTTAACAATATACTCAGTATTCAAAAACTAGGTAGCAATGTTGTCTCTATAGTTTACATCTAAATGAAGATGTTTAAAATTAAACTTTCTCTGTCAATGAATGGCCTGTTTTTACATTATTACATGAGGTAGTAGCAGGACCATTTATTCCATTATCTACTTGCACTCCGTATTTAAATATTCCCTAGTATTTGTTCCCTAATAAAGTTAAGTAATTTCAATCTATAGAATAAAATATTGTGGGCCATTTTACCTTATGCAAGGTACTTAAACCTTTAACTATAATAGTTTATAACTAATTATACAAGTGCTTTTGTCTTTACCATCATGATTACCTTTTATGGTCTAGAAATTAGGGGCACCTGGGTGGCTCAGTCGGTTAAGCGTCCGACGTTGGCTCCAGTCAAGATCTCATGGTTCGTGGGTTGGAGCCCCGCATTGGGCTCTGTGCTGACAGATAGCTCAGAGCCTGGAGCCTGTTTCAGAGTCTATGTCTCCCTCTCTCTCTGACCCTCCCCTGCTCACGCTGCCTCTCTCTCTCTCAGAAATAAATAAAACGTTAAAAATTTTTTAAAAAGAAATTAAAACACGCACTCACACAGGTCTTAGTAAAACTTTACACTAATCTTTTATTCAGATTTTGCATAAAATGGCATAAAAGATGAAGTTGGTTCTCAAAGGGAAGTACATTTTTTAAAGTTTATATATTTATCTATTTTGAGAAAGAGAGAGAGAGAGAGAGAGAGAGAGAATCCCAAGCAGGCTCAGTGCAGAGCCTGATGTGGGGCTCAATCTCAAGAACCATGAAGCAAAATCAAGAGTTGGTGGCTTAACGGACTGAGCCACCCAGGTGCCCTGGGAAGTGTTTTGTTGTTTTTTTTTAAATACAATTTATTGTCAAGTTAGCTAACATAGACTATATAGTGTGTTCTTGGCTTTGGGAATTCCCATGATTCATTACTTACATACAACATCCAGTGCTCATCCCAACAAGTGCCTTCCTCAATGTCCATTTTCCCCTCCCTCCTCTCCCCCATCAACCCTCAATTTGTTCTCTGTATTTAAGAGTCTCTTATGGTTTGACTCCCTCTCTGTTTTACTGAGGTACATTATACATACAATAGTTGCATATTTTAAATGTACAATTGGTTCATGTACACACCCATGAAATTGTCAGCACAAAGTAGTAAGCATATTCATCACTCCAGAAAGTTTCTTTATGCCTGTCTGTAATTGCTTCCTCATACCTTATCCAGCCCCCAACTAAAGCCTTCTGTATCCATAGATCAGTTTGAATTTTCTAGAGGTCTATAATAAGTGAGATCATACAGTATTTACTTTTTAAAATCTGGTTTCTTTCAGTCACCATAATTATTTTCAGAGTCACTTTTGTTGCGCATGTCAATGGTTAGTTCCTTTATATTTTGAGTAGTATCCCTTAGAGATGCTGTAAAAAACCAATGTTGAGCTTTCTCCTGTTAAAGAAGAGATTATTATGAAGCATTGGGACTTCTTTTAAACATTTAAATGAAACTTTCTGACCAAAATAGGCTATTAGTCTGTATTAATATTGTGCCTTGGGTACGCTTTCATTATTGCTCATGAAAATTTCAAGGTTAACTTTACAAATTATGTGGTCAAGAGGACCACATTGGCTGCTTAATGAAAACACTATCTTTGAAAGACAAAAGTAAGGGTCACATCCCTTTCTTGTACAAACTCTTTCCCAAATGGAATATTGGCACATCATAATTAGAAAGCTGAAAATCTTATGATCAATTAATTTTCAACAAAGCAGCAAAGAGTATCCAATGGGAAAAAGGCAGTCTCTTCATTAAATAGTGTTGGGGAAACTAGGCAGCAACATGCAAAAGAATGAAGCTGGACCACTTTTCTAATACTATGCACAAAAATAAACGCAAAATGGATAAAAGACCTGAAACCATAAAAATCCTAGAAGACAGCACAATCAGTAATTTGTCTGACATCAGCCATGGCATATTTTTCTAGATATGTCTCCTGAGGCAAAGGAATTAAAAACAAAGATAAACTATTGAGACTGCATCAAAGTAAAAATCTTCTGCACAGCGAAGGAAACAGACAACAAAAGTAAAACAGAACCTACTGAATGGGAGAAGATATTTTCAGATTACATATCTGATAAAGTGTTAGTATCCAAAATATACAAAAAACTAATACAACTTAACACCCAAAAAACAAATAATCCAATTAAAAAATGGGCAGAAGACATGAACAGACTTTTCTCCAAAAACATTGCCAACAGACACATGAAAAGATGCTCAATAACCCTCATTATCAGGGAAATACAAATCAAAACTATAATGAAATATCACACCTGTCAGAATGGCTAAAATCAATAACACAAGAAACAACAAGATTGGCAAGGAAGTGGAAAAAATGGAATCCTCTTGAACTGTTGGTGGAAATGCAAAGTGGTACAGCCACTGTGGAAAATATTCTGGCGTTTTCCTCAAAAAGTTAAAAATAGAGCTACTTTGTGATCCGATAATCACATTACTGAGTATCCAAAAAATACAAAAACACTAAGTCAA